GTATATATATATATATATATATATATATATATATATATATTCAAATGAGTCAAATGATGCAAAGTTTAGTATCCTGTTAATTAAATCATCAGGGACACGCATAGCACACAAATGGCATTGGTTTCTGAGAAAGACTCTCCAAACATTTCAGTGCACCAAGATAAAACCACTTGCCTCATTGCAACAAGTGAAGTGTTACAAAATCATGGATTTGTATACATTTGTAGCGACTCAGCTCATGTGAAATATGAATAACTAACCATAACTAGTTATAATTAACTATTCATATTTTAGATCCGCTGTAGATATTTAGCTGACCTCTCAGGGTCAACTGTCTTGTCAATTCTAAGAACGTTAATTTCCTGGTTAAGGGAAATAACTTTCTTACTGTACAATTCTACAAAGCTTGTAGCGTAAATCTGCATGATTAGTGACTAGTGATTAGTGACCGGTTAAGAGCAAACAATGAACACGTCAAGTGTGATACAAGTAAGGTTTTATTAACTACATAAACACTTAAACTAGTCCAACATACTACATAAACACATAAACTGGTCTAACATACACATACACACACACACACACACATACAGTTGGTATAGGAAAGGGTTAAAGTTGAACTCAGTACAGAAAGAGGCATAAAGAATGAATTTTTATGGAACACTTTGCATCTTAAGCAGATCTAAACCTGAGGGATACGTCAGATCCTTAGTTCAAACTTAATTTGATACTTAATGCATCAATTAATAAGACTAAGTTTGATACTTGCGAGTCTCGCCTTGTCTGAAAGAGATTCCTGATGCAATCTTAAGGTTTCCAGTTGATCTTTGCTGAATTTGGGTCGATGAAAAGAACCAGTTTGAGTCAGAGAATCTTTGGTGAATGGAAAAGTCAAGGCCGAAAGGCCTGGCACAGAGCTTTGGGATCCTGAAGCGTTTTCTCACATCTTCATCTGCATCTGACCGAACCACCGACATGGGCGGGTCACATGAAGTGGAACTTGAATCGAAAATACTAAAGATTCTCAGGACACTAATATATTGCCTATGTACCAACATATAA